GGAGAGCTCGCTCAGCACAAACTCTTCCTGGAATTTTTTGTCACAAGCACGTCACACCAGCCCCCTTCCCCCATTTTTCCTGGGATCTTTGCCAAGTCCTAAGCCAGGAAACCTTGTTATATTAATTATGAAGAAAAAGCATGTTTTATTTAAAATCCCGGCTGCCGAATATTCTGCCATGCTGTTTCTCTGTGACAGCAGAATTGCTTTTGCATTTAGGAAACTCTAATGAATTGAAAATATAAATATATCTGAGCCTACATACACATATGATTTCCTGCGACCTGATTTCCCTAAATACCAGCATACACCACCAAAGCTAATGAGTTGGACTTGTGCTTAGGATCAGGTATTTTTTTTTTAATCTGTAAGTACATGCAGTGCAAATCAGTACTTATTTTTTCCATAAGATTCTGAATGGGTTACAGCATGAAGGAGGGTTGTCTCCTATGTCTGAAAGAGACTCTGACATTCTGGAGCACCGAGGCTTTGAAAAGGGTGGTTTGTGTCTTCTGGTCAAAGCCCTTGTTTGGTCCTGGGGGCCATGTGGTTATGGATTCTTGAATTAATCAGACAAGGAGCCCTGTTACTTGACCACCCAGAACTGACTCTAATATTTCAGCATCCACAGTGTTTCTGAACAATAATCAGACAAGCATGCTCTCTGTGTTTCTTTCCTTGTTAGTCTCTCTCTTTCCAAGGTAGAACTGGACAGGTACTGGACAGGTAACCCGTCGAACAGAGACAGGGTCCAAAGTAGAGCGTGCTGGGACCTGGAGGACCTGGGGTCTTCAGTTTCTAATACCAGAAGCAGTAGTTCCTTGTCCCCTCCCTGTCATATAAGAATGGAAGCCCATGTAACTAGACTGTCTGATTTTCAGGAAAAACTGGGGTCTGTATTATTATATGAAGTGTCCTGATTCTCAAATGTCACCAGCAATCGAAAGGAAATGGAAACACTCTTCAGGTTGAACTTTTACCTGCCAAATAAAACATGGGCTGTGAGCAGCATGTATTCCAAGCCACAAATTTGCAACCTCTTGTCTGTGCAGATATTTTTGTGACTCTCTACCTAGGAGGATTCTGGAGCCCTAGAGTTCTTGCGTTTAAATTCTAGGGTTTAAAAAGCTAAGAAATGGGAGCAAACAGGCATTTTAATTGCAAGGCCCCCTGTTGAGGATGAGCTGAGAGAAACAAGGCAAACCTGACAAGACTTGTCCGCTAGCTTCTGATCCTGGAAGAAGTCAAATTGCATTACAGCTGAGCCCAGGGGCACCCCAAGTCACCCTGAGAACCGCAGCAGGAAAAGAAGTGAAAGCCCTAGAGACAGTGCACATAGCCGAGCAAACCTCCTGTAAAGGGTGAGGAGTCGAACCAGAGCTGAGTCTCCGTTCTGGCTGGGGAGTTGGGTCACTCACCATCTTTGGGCTCGTTTCTCCTTCAGAAAATGGGGATAACAATACAAGATGTGCTGGGGATTTTGTTACTGTTGTTTAGTCGCTAAGTTGTGTCCGACTCTTCTGCATCTCTGTGGACTGTAGCCCTCCAGGCTCCTCTGCCCATGGAATTTCCCAGGCAAGAATACTGGAGTGGGTTGCCATTTCCTCCAGGGGATCTTCCCAACCCAGGGACTGAACCTGACTTTCTTGCATTGGCAGGCATTCTGTACCACTGAGCCGCCACGGAGGCCCCTGTGCTGGGGACTGGTGTTCAACACTGACGGGTAAAGAAAAACAAATCTAGACCAGACCAGGAAAACACTATGAAGGATTCCCCGGAATCTATGGCAATAATATTGACCACACTTTTTTGGGATCATGATACCTGAATATAAAACTAAGTTACAAATGAGCCCACAGAGAAGTCATCATAATGTTTGTGGTATGATTTAAATTCATAGGTGGGTCTCCAGGCATCTCTCCAGTGGGCAGCAATGAGAGACCTGTGACTGCTTTTGTTTAAAGTTTCAGAGGCGCATGGAATCTGTGCCTGACTCTTTACCAAGCAACAGGCCCCTGGTCTAAAAGCCCCCCATCCCTATAGGAAGGATCATACCCCTAAGGCTCTGTGTTGTTGTTTAGTCGCTAAGTCATGTCTGACTCTTTTGTGACCTCATGGACTGTAGCCTCGCCATGTTCCTCTGTCTATGAGATTTCCCATGCAAGAATACCAGAGTGGATTGCCATTCCCTTCTCCAGGGGATCTTCCTGACCCAGGGAACGAACCTGGGTCTCCTGTATTGCAGGCAGATTCCTTACCATCTGAGTCACCAGGGAAGCCCCCCTAAAATTAGTTACTCAGTTGTGTCTGACTCTTTGTGACCTCATGGGCTATAGCCCACTAGGCTCCTCTGTCCAAGGAATTCTCCAGGCAAAAATACTGGAGGCTGTCTGGACCAAAGAAATCTCATCCTCGGCCAGGGCCCCTGGCAAGAGACCTTATCCAGACAGATGGAAACCAGCCTAGTCTAAGACTCAGCTCTGCCACCTCCTAGTTTGAGAACACATTCCTCAGTTTCCTGATCTGCAAACTGAGAGCAATAACAGTACTTTCCTTTCTTTTTAAACTTTTTATTTTGTGTTGGAGTATAGCTGATTAACAATGCTGTGATAGTTTCAGGTGGACGGCCAAGAGACTCAGCCATACATGTACGTGTACCCATTCCCCTGCAAATTCCCCTCCCATCTAGTCTGCCACATATCATTGAGCAGAGATCCCTGTGCTATATAGCAGGGACTTGGTTATCCATTTTAAATATAGCAGTGTAACTATCCCTTCTCCCCATTCTTCCCCCTGGAAACCATAAGTTCATCCTCTAAGTCTGTGAGCCTATTGCTGTTTTGTAAAAAAGTTTATTTGTATCATTTCTTTTTAGATTCCATGTATAAAAGATGTAATATGCTATTTATCCTTCTCTGTTTGACTTATTTCACTCAGTATGACAATCTCTAGGTCTATCCATGTTGCTGCAAATGGCATTATTTCATTCTTTTTAATAGTACCTATTTCCTGGGATTCTTCTGGTGAACTCAAAGACCAGTCCCTCAAAAGCACAGAGCATGGCACACAGGATTTCTCATTAAACAGCAGTTTGTTATTACTTTACCTACCTTGGGGCAGGAGAGGCCACCCTGTCCATCTGGCTATGATTCCTTCCTTCCTGGTGATGTCTCAAGCTCTCTAAACATCTGAGTGAGTTGGCCACTTTCCCCTCTATCTCTGTGTACTGGCCTATGGAATGCAAGCCACTCTCCCAACCACCTGTCTGGCATGCATCTGGAGTAAGAAAACATTCCAAAGCCCTGAATCCTCTCTTTGGAATTGACTAAGCTCATTGCCCAAAGGCTAGTTCTCATGTTTTCTCTTTTATCCATTATTGACTTACAATTTCATTGCTAACCCTAAAAATTCACTAGGGCTTGCAAAATAAGGATTTGGGGGGACCGTTATCTTTTGCTGAACTTCAAACAGACTGCATCCACTCTCTTCCTTGCCTGCAAATTTTAGGATTTAATTCCTTCTGAGTGGCACTTTCTCTGGACCCTTCCTTTGTGAGTCAGATAATTTCCATCGCTTTTCTCTAGACCTGTGCTGTTTCTGCAGGGTCTTAGCCTCAGACATTCAATAGCAATCGGTGATGTAGAGGGTTTGATAACGACTGATCTTTGCAGCCACCCCCTACACACAAACACAAGTTATCATTGGAAAAGAAAATTCTTTCCGAGATGAGTCATTGGCAGCTTAATATGGTACTAAGGTAGGTGCCCGAGTACAGTTTACGTAAAGGGGAGGAGAAGCTGCTGTTTTTAAGGCATGCTAAGCAGAGAGCCTAGAATCTAACCTGCTTCCTGCAGGAAAAGCTCTATGAAGTGAAACTGGAAATAAAATGCAAAGGTATTTAATATGATGACTGTTATTTCTGTTCTCATCCCTTTCTCGTACGTTACTCACCACCCCCTTCACTCTAACAAAGGTGAGCCTTCTTTGATTTTTATAAAGAACTCGTGTCACTTTGGAAATTTCAAGGGAAAAGAGCTCACATCTATTTAAAGCCACATGCATTGCTCCGCTTAACCAGTCACGACCCTCCCCAAATCTGGGGGAGATTATCAGTTGGTTTGCAGCGGAGGAAACTGAGGTTCACAGAGATGATGTTACTTACACAAGGTTCCACACCCAGAACGTGGCAAAGCTGAGATCCAAACCCTGGCTCCCAAGACACACTCCCACTTCAGACCACCTCCAGCATGGAACTTGAGAGGTGTGAGGTCTGGTGAAGACCTGTCTCGTATGCCCACAGAGACCCAGCTAACACTCTTGGACTACAAGGGCACGAAACAGGAACAGACACCACCACACCTCATCTGCTCCCCAATGTCTTGAGTCCCCCATGTGAGACCCCCTGATGTCACTTTCCTTCTCCGCTCACCACAACCTCCTGGGCCCCTGCTCACCTCTCTGCCCTGTTAACTACAGCCATGGTCACAGGGTGATGCGAGAAAAAGTCCTGCTTGTGAAGCTTCTCTCTAAATATGATCCGTCTAAGTAAAGCTGTTGCCAGCAAGATTCTCCTCTAGGGTCAAAATAGGGGGATTCTTACCCTAATGTCCCCCCCAAAAGCTGGAGAACTGGGTATGCATGTCAGCATATACAGAGAAAGAGTTTGTACCTTTCAGTGGCTTTCCAAAGGGATTTCTGTGGCTCATATCAGACAAAACACACTGCCTTAGCGGATTTTTTTGCTCTGATCCCCTTAGTTGGAAGGTGTTCATGGAGACTGCTCTAAGATGGCTCAAACCAATTGCATGGCTTCATGGATCTGGCCACTTAATAGCAACCAATTTGAAAGACCTGCATTAGCGCTTGAAATTAGGACATATTCGACCTGGCAACACCAGTCTTTCACAACTAAAGTTTCTCATTGCTCCTGGCCCAGCTGGTTTGGTCTTCCTAATAACCTCAGAGCCTCTCAACACCAGATATTTGAAAAGAACACTTACCCCGAAGGCTGTCTTTCCCGCCAGAACCATTAACAGCAGAACATGGAGATCAGACATTCTGGCAAACATCTTTGTAGTTTAAGAACTCTTGTTTTGCTCTAAACACAATTTCTTTTGTTGTCTCTGCCTTTGGGGGGGAGGGGGGAATGTCAGTCTCCCAGGATTCAGGAACAAATGAAGAGGATGCAAATTATTAACTAGGCATCAAATACTGTTTAATGTTTAATGTTTTGCAAACCAACTATCTTGATTAAACAAATGGTAACTTTGGGGCTGGGCTGAGTCATGGGGTTGGTTTCTTTTCTGGAGAGAAAGTCTCCAAAGAAAGCAGCAGAGATAAATTGCCCCTGGCTCCTGGGGGTGGGGGCAGGGTTGCCAAGGGCTCAGTGCAGAAGGCCCCACCGTTCACTAGTATCTCAGTTGCAGGATAAAAGCCCGGCCAGAGTGAGGCTCCTACCACAGGCCTCTGACATTGCTGACTCGATCAGAATGTTAATAGAGATCTGATTCATCAAATCGCAAACAGAATTAAGGCATGGATAGGCTCCTAATAACATCACGCTTTATATTCATGAAAGATAAATTAAAGGATGCAAAACTGCTATTGACAAACATTGATTCTAGGCCCTTTGAAGCATTGCCCACGATTGCTTGTTGGCTTCAAAGTTTTCTTTTAAATTTCATTACATAAGGCTTTAACTTTTTAATTATTTTTTTTCCCTTTCATTAGAGTCTTTCTTTGATCAAGAGAGGGTGAAAAAGTGCCCATGGCGCTCATATCTGGGGCCAATTGTTTCTTACGCTCCTTTTTTACCTACGCTGATTGCAGGTAGCACTATATAAGGCAACAGTTACTTATGAAGCATGGGTGCTCATGGATACAATTGATCTCTTTAATAGGCATCATTGTGAGCTTCTGTAAACACCTAGCTGCCCACAGTAATCTATGCAAGGGCTCCAGGAATCCTCTTATCTGAGTCCTAAATCCAGGGTCTAAAAGCCTGCTGATGACCAAGGCAGGTGCTCACCTGGCTCACCTGTTCACCCATCTGCCATCCCTGCTTGGATATGCACTTAGACTCCTGCCTGGCTGCTTCTGCCTTCAGAAGCCAGCTTGCTGGTCATGGAGGGCCCCACAGGTACTAGCCCAGAAGACCAAAGTCAGTGCCCCAGTCACCAGAAAGATGGTCCTTGAAGAACAAACCACCAAAAAAGAGCAGACCACCAGAAAGATGGTCCTTGAAGAGCAAACCATCAGAAAAGAGCAGACCACCAGAAAGATGGTCCTTGAAGAGCAAACCATCAGAAAAGAGCAAATCACACACACAAAAAAACAAGCCATAATTTGTCTCCTGTTCACTTATTTTGTCTCCACTCTGTTTTAGGCAGACAGCAATTCATTCCTGGTCAACACTCATCCAATCCCTATAAGACAAGCACAGTTTCCTGGGAAAGATCCCTAATCTTCCCCTATTCATCCCCAATCTTTCTCACTTGCTCACTCAGTTGTGTCTGACTCTTTGATCCTATGGACTGTAGCCCACTAGGCTCCTTTGTCATGAAATTTCCAGGCAATACTGGAGTGGGTTGCCATTTCCTACTTCAGGTGATCTTCCTGACCCACGGATTGAACCGTGTCTCCTGAATCTGCTGCATTGCAGGCAGATTCTTTACTGCTGAGTCACTGGGAAAGACTCAGCCTTATTCCACTCCTAACTCTCATCCTAACTCTAATGCTGATCACTCTTCAGCAAATTCATTTAGGTACCCATCTAGTTAACCCAACTTTCCAATTTCAGCCCAAACATTACTTCTTTTTAAAATTTTTTATTATTTTTTTCTACCTAATTTTATTTTCTTATTTATTTTTGGCTGTCTTGGGTCTTTGTTGATTTACGCGAGTCTTTTCTAGTTGCAGTGAGCAGGGGCTACCCTTTGTAGTGGTGTGCCAGCTTCTCGTGGTGACTTCTCTTGTTGCGGAGCACAGACTCTAGACACTTGGGCTTCAGTAGTTGCAGCCAGGGTTTCAGTCATTGTGGCACATGAGCTTTGCTGACCTACAGTAGAATCCTCCTGAATCAGGGATCAAACCTGTGTCACCTGCATTGCCAGGAGGATTCTTATCTACTGTGCCACCACGGCTGTCCCAAACATTACTTCCTCAAAAGCCCTACGTGAGTTTTTCTTTCACAACACTTATCAAGGTTGCAACTGCATACCAATATTACTCTTCCATTAATATTTGTTTCCCTACCGCCCCCACTGGATTGAAAACTCATGTGGCAGGCACTCTGTTTTGTTCATCATTGAATTCTTGGTAGGGATGCCTGGCACTTGCATTCAATATATACACCATGAATGAATGAATGAATGAGGAAAGGAATAACCACTTCCTTACAGTGACAGCTAGACACTTTTTAACCCAGGCACCATAGATAGCATAGCCAGCTCAAGGTGAAATGGAAAGTTGGGTATGAAAAAAAAAGCTAAAGCATTGGTACACTTGTAAACATCCTTCAATTTATTCATGGGCACTACATGAATATTCATCAGTTATCCACTGATGATCTGCTGTGAGCAAGCATTGGCCACACCGGGACAGAAGAGTCGGACATGAACTTTGCTCTTAATGAACTTGCTTGCTGGTTAAGGGAGAGTTAGGCAGACCGTGAAAGAGGAAGCAAGTTAATTTTAATAAGTGGAAAAGAATAAGTCTGGAAAAGAATGAAACAAGGTGATGGGACAGAAATCTTTGTGAGTGGGAGCCTTCCATAGACTGGGAGGTGGCAATAGTAGTGACAGTGGCTAAGTGGGTCATTGTAGGGTATAGACAGCGTTACTGGTTATCGGGTCAGGGAGTAAGGGTCAAAGAGGCAGTGTACACGAACAGGTTGCTGCTCTCCAGACTCAGAGCTGCAGCCTTCACAGTACCAGCTCAGGCTGTAAAAGGCGGAAATGGAAATTTCAGACAAGTCGAATCACTGAATCACCCACATGACTTACGCTTTTCTTTTAACCTCCATAGCCTCATGTGAACTAGCGACCTTCTGACTTTGTGGAGAGATTCCCAGAAAACAAACCAGAAGCTTTTCTTCCTGTGTCAACAGGAAGTGACCTGGTGAGTCTGTTGTTCACCTTTATTAATAGAATCCGGATTCATTTCCCTGACATGTACTCTTCCTTTTATCACAAGCAAAAAGTGAACAATTGTGCTCTTTGTGTAATAACCACAGGCCTCCCGCATATTGTCTCAGTTCCCTAAAGTTTTGTTATCACAACAGTGTGAAACCAAATAAACTTCTGCTTGTAGCCCTGAAAGACAGAATTCTGTAAAAGATGCTTAATCCTTTTAATTTGGTGGACAAAAGGACTAGTTTATCATGTGATATGGCTTTATCAGGGGAGTTGAAACAAACCTATCTGGGATCTCTGTTTTTTAAGTCCAAACACATGAGACTTCACCTCTCATCCCGGCGGAGGTTTCAGATGTGATCAAGTCAATCTATTCTCTAGCGCTCTGGAGGCTGTTTTCTCACGAGTAGGGTTACAAGCTGTTGGTGAGAATGTCTGTCCTGCCCCGGGAGGTCTTGGGACTCTGGTTCTCTAGCAGGCTGATTCTTCCACCCTAAGGGAAGTCTCCCTCATAATGCCCTTGCTGGAGACCCAGCCTTTGATGGATTGGGTTACATGACATCTGCTGGGCTTGGACCAACCTGCCTCGTGTTTATTATTTACAAGTAACACTCTTCCTGCTAGGCCTTCAGTATGGGGAGGTAGTGGGTGTCGGGGGTAAAGAACAGCAGCCCAGACTTGAAATTGACCTGAGCCCTGGCCCAGCCACATCTCCACTTTGGACAGCAGGACAATCATTTACTCTCTCTGAATCTCGGTTTCCTCATCTGCAAAATAGGGATGCTGTGGTTCCCCCCTCATGGCATCACCATGAAGTATACATGAGAGAATAAAGGTAAGGCATTAAATGCAGTGTCTGGCATAGAGCAGACTTTGCGAAACACACTGGTTTTAGTATCAGGAAAGTCTTTTCATAGGATGGTACTTGCTGAGCCCCCAGACCCTCAGAGATGAAAGGACATGTGTTCAGTGAATCTAATCCCCAACTCAGGGACAGAATGACTGTATCCTTGGGGTGACTCTTGTCTTACTGTTCTCTCTAGCACAGGGGTCAAAAAACTTCTGAAAGAGCTAGATACTAAAAATCTTAGCTTTTTTCTAGACTTCCAGTTTATGTTGTAAATCTTCAGTTCTGCCATTTTTACACAGAAGCAGCCAGAGCTAACACATCCAGCACTCCACATCCACAGTTCCGTATCCTCAGATTTGACCAACCACAGGCCAAAACTATTTTTAAAAAAAATTCTAGACAATTCCAAAAAGCAAAATTTGAATTTGCTGCTTGCTAGCAATGACCAATATTTACATAGCATCTACAATTGTTTAGTTTGAGCAAGTTCTGGACAGGTAATTTCTGGTGGACGGGTAAGCCTGGCGTGCTGCAGGCCATGGGGTTGCAAACAGCTGGACACGACTGAGCGACTGAACTGACTGACTGACAACTATTTATATAGTATGTTCTTTGTATTAACCACTGAAGTGGTTGGATGGCATCACTGATTCAATGAACATGAATTTAGGAAAGCTCCAGGAGATGGTGAGGGAGAGGGAAGGCTGGTGTGCTGCGGTCCACAGGTCATAAAGAGTCAGAAATGACTTGGTGACTGAACAACAACATTTATATCAGATATTATAAACAATCTAGAGATGATTTAGAGTATACAGGAGGATACGTGTAGGTTTTATGTAACTACTACACCATTTTTTATAGGATTCTTGGGCATCTATGGATTTTGTTATCCTCAGAGGGTCCTAGAACCAATCCTCCCCAGACACTGAGGGATGATAGTACTAATGCCAACAGCAAGACTATGTTTCAATAAAACCATATTTACAAAAAAAAAGCACCATAGTTTGTGGATTATGACTCTAGGAGAGAGCCCTGAAGACATAGCCAGAGCACTGCATAACTGGAGGGGCCCTGGAAAGCAACGGAG